AAGAGATTAAATCAGCAATGAAGACTCTCCCAACAAAGAAAAACCCACATCCTGATAGCTTCACTGCTGAATTCTACCAGACATTCAAAGACCTAATTCTCAAACGTGAACAGGAAAGGATCCTCTCACACTATGAAGTCTGCATCACCTTAATTCCTTAACAAGAAAAGATGCAACTAGAAAGAGAATTATAGACCAATATTCCTGATGAATGTAGATATCATAAGCATTATCAGTATGAACATTTGTCCAATAAAAAGATCATTAGCTGAAAAGTAAAAAAGAAAAGCAGCTGATAAAAATGTTAATATCTAAAATTTTAACATTTACATTCAGTATATAAGGATTGAAAAATCATTCTGCAGTGAGAATTAGTACTAGGTATCTTAAGTTTTCTATCACTACAGGGAAACCATTGTGAACTCAGTATCTTTAAACAACATGAATATATTATCTCATCATGTCAGCACATTGTTGATTTAAGGTCTCTATTCAGGGTCTAATCAGACAGCAATCAAGATGTTTCATGTGAACTCAGCTGAGGCTCACTATTTTCTTGCTAAATCCTTAGTTGTTGGCAGTTTTCAGTTTCCAGTGGTTGGGGGACTGAGTCCATTTTTCCTTTCAGGTTTTCCAAATGGCTCTAAACTCTAGTGTCAGTCTTAGATTGTTACCTCTTACACTATGGTAGCAGGAATATCTATCTTCATTCCACACACATGAATTCTAATAAATGTAATGTCATTGCAAGATTGACTATCTCATTACCTGTACTATGACATAACCTGATCAAAGAAACAAGTAAACCATAATATCAACAAGTCCCATCTTGTTTCTAAGGAAGTGGTAAAAACTTTCACAGTATCAGTACATTAGGATGTGAGAATCTTGGGGGATGTCCATCTTTGTGGCTATACTTCTGCCTATGATACTAGAAAACAACACCTCATTTTATAAAAGGTGGGAATAAGGGAAGCATGGGACGTAGAAAAAGGTTTCAGAAAAACCTATACAGTTTGACATACATTCAAAATGGAAAGAATTCTGATAAAGCAAAATACAAATGATCAAATTAAAATTTCCTTTAGCTCTCACCCAAGTTTTAACCTTTCACTCTATAGGTATCCTTTCTTTTTAAGAATCATATATTTCTTTAAAATTCTATGAGAAACAATGACTTGATCAGCTCTTGTCCTGACGGTTGATGTACAATGTAATACTTTATCCATTTTAGCATTTTTTTTGTTCTAGTAAAATTCTAATATATTTAAATTTTAATGTTCAACCCGGCGCCGTGGCTCACTAGGCTAATCCTCTGCCTTGCGGTGCCAGCACACCGGGTTCTAGTCCCAGTCAGGGTGCGGATTCTGTCCCGGTTTCCCCTCTTCCAGGCCAGCTCTCTGCTGTGGCCAGGGAGTGCAGTGGAGGAGGACCCAAGTGCTTGGGCCCTGCACCCCATGGGAGACCAGGAGAAGTACCTGGCTCCTGCCATCGGATCAGCACGGTGCGCCGGCCACAGCGCGCCAGCCATGGCGGCCATTGGAGGGTGAACCAACGGCAAAGGAAGACCTTTCTCTCTGTCTCTCTCTCTCACTGTCTACTCTGCCTGTCAAAAAAAAAATTTTTAATGTTCAAATGTTATCATATTAGAAGTCTTAATATAATTTTAAATGCATTGTTTGCAATCATTACTAGGACTTTTAATATGATTAATATTAATTTAGTTAATATAGTATAAAATATATTTATATTGCATGTCATTTCTTTGATCTTCCCTAATGATTTTATGTTCCTAAAGGGTGATAAAAATAGACTTAACATTCTTTCATCTTTACAACACTGTTGACTGTTTTCTTCCTGATCATATGTCCCTACTCTTCCTTTTCTTAGAACATTTATTTTATAAAAATACAGTTGTAAATTTTCTATGTCTTCTAGATTTGAATCTTTTACAATCAAGACTTATCTTTATCATGATCGCATGAGTTATCCTTTCTAAATGTCATCATGAAAGAAGATGTTACCTCTCCTTCCAGTTTCTGTAGAAGGGTAGCCAGATATACTCAATGACTGACAATTAGCAATAGGAGCTGACCTGAGCACATTGACTAACTTCCCTCCTAAGGGGCTTCACACTTTCCCATTAGCTCCCTCTAGTGTTTATAGGTCTTGGCCTCTATTGTGATAGTCTTCAGTAAAGTCTTCCTGGACATTTTAAAAAAGTGTCTAGTACAAAGTCTGATAAGCCTCAAATTTAAAAATCCAGAATATTAGTGTTATTGTATAAGGTGGGTATCAAATGCTTACATTGAGATTTTGATACCCTAAATAGATATTTTATATATACCTTACAAAGAGAGCTACCTCACTAAAGATTACTTGTATAAGAATGCTACATTACACTATTATGTACAGGATCTGATCATAAATGAACAGAGCAGCATTTACAAAGTAAACTTTCCTCTTTATTATGCAGTTGGTCAAGAGTGTTGTGGCATTGTGGATTAGGTAGCAAAATATTTGATTGGATGGAAAAGTTAGAATTCTTAGCAAACTTTATTTCTTATCATAAGCTCAGAGACTCAGACTGTAAATAGGTTTGCCTGTTTTGTAATTGTATTTTTTTTTCATTTTACAAATTAAAAGTATGTTGTAATTTTTAAATTTAATTTTATTTATAGAAATGATGGTAAATACCTTCCATTAATTATGATATCTGAGCAAATAAATTGCTTTAGTTTTTTTTTTTTTCCAAACCTAAAACTTTACTCTGTTGCAAGTTTTTCCAACTTTAGCACTATTAAACTTCCAGGGTGAACATGCCTTTGTTGTGAGTGGAGGGCTGTTTTGTACATTATGGATGTGATGCATACCTGTTGTCTCTGCTCTCTGAAGGAGAGCTGTATATGGTGCCTCATAGTGACAACCAAAAATGTCGTTGAGTTGGAGGTGGTAGGATAGATAAAATAATTCCTTGGATAAGAACTACTGCTTTGTGGTTAGAAAACCAACATACAAAGACATTTCTTCAATTTTATATGCTTAGAATTTAATAAACTTTTAATAGGAAAAACAGCCAGTTCTCTTCCTCACAATGGGGATTTTAAATACGAGCAGGGAAGCATGGTTTGACATTTATCCACTCATTGATCTATGGGCATGCCTGGCCTGAAATCAGAACATCTGAACTTATCAAAAGTAACCTGATGCTGCTGGTGTTTGGGGATTCTTTTTTAGATATGACAACTTAAGAACAACAGAAAAGACAACTTGTCATGTTATAATCCATATATACTAAACCAAACTACATGTTTCCAATAAAGCAAAATTGGTGAAGATTTTGAGAACTGAGATGAAATTTAGTTGAAGCATTGGCTCTGAAAATAGTCCTGTCTCTATGGACTTCATGCCAACACAGGGAAGCAGATTCCACCAGGGGGCAATGGTGCCTTGTGGGTGTGTGGCACACAGAAGGATCAAGGCAAGTTCATCCAAAGCGAGATGAATATGCCTGCATGATCTGCATACAAAAGATGCTTTACTTATTCTGTATACAAAAGGCATATTTGTTGAATTAGGTTATTATGTCACCCTTCAAAACTCAGGCCAAATATCCCTCTTCATGGGAGAATTCTATAATCTACAATTTGGATCTGCTTACCCCACCTCTATTCTATAATAAAACTCTGCAATCCTCAGTCATAGCACTTATTATAACATATTATAAAAACTAATTTTTCATTGCTTTTTATTATACTAGAAATGCGTTTAAGAGCCAGTGCTGTGACCTATATGCTTCTGTATTCCTAAAAGCATAGATTGATGCTTGGTATGAAATCACTATTTGTAGAATGAAAACATTCTCAATCAGAGATGGAACCAATTATCAAAATCGCAAATTAAACCATCATGCAGCACATGAAAGGACTAAAATATAAAATTAATTGTGGAAAAAATCTAATAAGGCCAAAACATTTAGTTCTACTTGAGAGGTTGGTATTTACTAATTTTTTTTCATATGTTTTCTTTTCCTGAGATCCATTTCTCTATTTCTCCAAACATAGGCCCCATATAAACAGTCAAAGGACAAAAAGTTTCTGTTATTTCCCTTTGATTAAGACTATAGAGTCTCTCATTTCCCTAGCAGAACAGTATTATCTGTGTGTGTCTACTTGGGATGTCATATACCTCTTTATGACTAGACTACAGCAAAATTTCATTAACATTGAGTAAAGATCTAAGAAATAGTACAGTGTTTCTTCAAAATACAGCTTAGATTTTTGCTGAAAAATATTCTTTCAAAAGTTTCCATAATGCAATTACCTATTTCAAGAACAACATATAGGACTATAGGATATTTATTTTGGTGAGTGATTCAGTAATGTCACTAAGAGAGAAGTTTCTTCATAACTTGGTGCCAGATATTTTGAGTTTGTATTGATCCAAAGCTCAGCCCATGAAGCTAAAAATGTGAGACATAGACTCATAATTTATTAAAGACCATCATGTTCCAGGAAATGTGATGAATAATCCACTCTGCAAATCCATGTGAATTATATGCAGCCCTTTTCCAGTAGACAGAGATTTCTGCTGAATCCACATGAATACTCCTAATGTATATTTAATACAAAAGCAGATTGTCTCATGCAGATATTCCCTGAACAGACATAAAATGAATAGTGCAATAACAGAATGAAAGATAGCTGTCCCACTGAGTTGACTACAAAGAGATCTAAACTGATAAGGGAAGAACAGTATACAATGAGGGAATCCAATCAAGGCAGAGGTAATAAAGGAAGAAGTTTAGAAAGTTGGATAGGCATCTGAAATAAAATGAGTACTTCTGACATAGTGAAATAGTAATGCTAGCAAAATAGCATATATATATATACACACATATATATATAAATACACACACACACATATATATATATATATATAAATACACACACATACACACACACACATATGGTGCCAGAGACAAAGTAGGAAATTTTTACCTGAGTCTAGAGGCATTTCTTTGCAAGTGAACTTGGTGCTTGTCCTCAAACACTAGGAAGCTTAGAGAAAGAGGTCTTTGGTCCTGGGATAAAAAGATAAGTATCAATCAGAGAACAGAAACTATAGGTCCAAAAAACAAGCAAACAAACAAAAAAACAGTCACCTAGTATGATAATATTTGCCTATTTGCTGATTATTTCCTAAAACTCCCCTTGCAGTGGCTATATACTACACACTCAATTAATTTTCAAATAATGTTGAGAAGAAAATTCCAAGTAGAAGGAAGATTACTGAGTCTTTTAAGGGTAGGGTTTTCATTTTTATTATAGAAGTCAGACCAGCAGTTTCCTGTATATCATATGGATGGGAACAAGTGTGGGGAAAAAGACAAAGAAAGCCAACTTTTTCTCTACTATTATTGACTATGTCATCACATGCAAAATATAAAAGGTTACATCAGAATTGATGGCATACCATTAAAAGTTTCTTTATTTAAAAATAAATATTTTTATTTAAATAATAAAACTATTTTATTTAGACAATAAAGCTATTTTAAGGCCATATCTGTCTAGTGAGCAGGGAATCATATCTCAGTGTTTGAAGATACTGCACTGCAAGTCTCAGGGTGGGTCAGGAGCCTCAGGATGTTTAAGCAATATTCACAGAAGACACTCTGGCTTCACACCAACCTGGCCACAACTGTGATGCTCATCTTCAGAATGCAGGGATTTCCTGGGAAGTTTGGTTGTTTGCTAGCTCAGGAGTGTTTCCTGGAGGGAGCCAGACTCTTAATGTGAAGCCTCTTTAGCCACACTTTGACCTTCCTGTTGTCAATACTTCATCTCCCATAGCTTCCTGTAAAGACTCAGATTTCTATTACTCTGAAAACAGGAGAATAAAAACATTTTCCCCATGATTAGGAAAAATATGAAAAGAAAAATTTTAAAAATATGTATTTATCATGGTAAACACCCACATGAAACAAACATAAAATGTGGGATCTTTCATTTGAATATAACAATCTCCATTTGGAAATCCTATAATTTGAAGCAAAACTACTCTTAGGGATGCCCTGTAACCCTCTCTCCCCAGGCCAATGCCAGAAATTGTATTTAAAAAAAAAAAAAACTTTGAATACCAAGTTCTGTAGATATAGAATCTATGAAGACACCCAAACAATGAGTGGCTTTTAAGGTGCAGATTAGATAGTTTCATGGTAAATCCAGAGCCTAGTATAGTCAGAGAGCAAAGACACTTTACTCCAGTGGAGCTACTATATGCCTTCTACTGGCAAGCTAATGCAAGGGCAGTGTTAGGGTCAGATTCTCAGCTACGATTTGCCATCCCCCCATCACTGGCTCATGGAGAGATTTCTGAGTCCCAAGCACATCACATCCAACTGTAGACTACCAAAAGTACTGCCTTAGGCAGTTAGACCTATGTACATCACATTACTGCTTTACTATTGCCATTGCTATGGGTCTCATATCAAGATTCTAAGAGGAAAGATCAAGAGTTCTTTGGTTATTCTTCTCTGTCATTTTTCTAATCACTGGTACTGCCAAGAGCAGCACTCCGAGGAGAGGAGTGAGGTTACACACACAGTTAAGAACTCATCACAGGGCTCCACATTGTGGCAGAACAGGTTAAGCCTCTACCTGCGAAGCCGGCATCCCATGTGAGCACTGGTAGTGCTTAGAACCCTGCATCCATGTGCGAGACCAGGAAGAAGCTGCAGGCCCCTGGCTTTGGCCTGGCCCTGCCCCAGCCATTGTGGCTGTTTAGGGAGTGAACCAGTGATAGGAGGTTCTCTGACTGTCTCTGTCTCTAGTTCTCCTTCTCTTCCTCCTCTTCTTCTCTTTGTAACTCTGTCTTATAAGTAAATAAAAAACAAGTCTTTAAAAACCAAAACTCATCACTCCTTCTTCTGCCAATACACTAATCTAGCCAGTAGTGGATAAAATACTCCCTTTGTTTGTGACAGAAGCTTTACTTATTTATTTTATATCTCTTTTGTATGTTTTCCTTCTGCTCCCATACCTGGTTCAATAAAGCTAGAGGAAGTAAAAAAAGGAAATTTGGGCTCCGTCTTAACAGTTGAAAGATTCAAGAAGAAATACTGAAAAAGGTTGGCATTCATCTGTATTTGGAAGTTAAACTCCTTGGGAAAGATACCAGATGAGTAAGATCATTCAGAATCATAAAGGGTATTCTGTTTTTTTTTTTTTTTAATGTGTGATAGTATACACACATACACACACACACACAGGGAGGGTGTCCACATGATGCCAGTGGAGAAATAGTGCTCAAAGAAGCAGAAATGAGAAGAAATAATAACGGAAATGCGACAGAAAAAAATTGGTCTGAATTCTAACTTCTCCTCAGCCACAGTAACGAGGTAAGCCTGGGAGATGGCAAACGCAAGTGAGAAGGAGGGCTAAAAGTTGGTGGAGAATTGAGATGCTTCAAGATTGATGGACTGTGTTGTCGCTCTCCCTCCTAAGGATTAGATGTTCTCTTCGAGGCAGTCCATTTGTCTCTAGGAAAAACATTCTTTAACTATGTTCAATTTGATTGTAAAAACATGAAAGTTACATTTTTCAAGATTTGACATTTTCTTGGAAATTGCAATAGAAGAAGCAGAAGACGAGGGAGAATTACCTTTCTTGTCATTCTTGCTCAACTCATGGTAAAAGTGGGTAGGTTGGATAGGAAGAAAGTAAGTCCTGAATTGGCTTATACTAATGACACAAGTTTTCGAAGTTTAAATGAAGTCAAAGACCAATTTTTGCAGATTTGAAACAGTGGTGTGTAGAAAAGGTCTTAGATTATTCTTTTAATGTCTAGTGTTTGGTCTGGTTAAGACACTAGCTGGAATTCCCACACCCATGATAGAATGTATGTGTCAGAGTCTCAGATCTGCTCCTGATTCTGGCTTCCTGATAATGTGTTCCTTGGGGGTGTGTCTCTCCCTGCCTGTCTCTCTCCCTCTCAAATACAAATCAAATAATATTATACTTAAGTCTACTTATTTCAAAACTGAATTATAGTCTAGAAGAATATTTTCTTGGGTTAGTGGGATGAAATTGAAGGTCATTATAATTGAGGAAATTTAAATGAATATACAGATGTGATTATGGGTGGGATGTCTTAAATATGAATACACTATGTATGGTGATGTTTGTTTTCTATTAACTGATTACCACAAACTTAGCCACTTTTTAAAAATGTGTCATCTCACACTTCTGTAATGTGATATCTGTATTAGAGGTAGACTCAGAAGAGCTCTCTGCTTAGGGTCTAACCAGGTTGGAATTAAGGTTTTGGCCAGCTTGGGTTCTTTAGGAAAGAGTCTACTACCAAAATAATTCAGGTTTCTGGCTGGATTTGGTGTGTCACACCTGGAGGATGGAAACCCTCTTTTCCTTCCAGATTGTTGGTTGGGGACTACTCTAAGCTGCTAAAACCTGTCCATATCCCTAATGCATTACTCTATGTTCATGTCCCACAACAGTGTACTGAACTCCATTTGTGCTTCAAATCATTGATTTCTTCTTCTTCTGAGAGCCTAAGAACGTTCTCTTATTCTCAAGACTCTAATGGTATTATTTAACCCACAAGATAACCTCTTTTTCATGTTTTAGTGATCCAATCATAGAAAAAATATCATACTTATGAGTTGTGGGGATTAGGTAGGTATCCTGTCTATAACCTAAAGAATTAGATCTATTTATCATTAAAGTAAAGGTAAATATGGGCCGGCAATGTGGTGTAGCTGGAATCCCATATAGGCGCCGGTTCTAGCCCTGGTTGCTCCACTTCATATTCAGCTCTCTGATATGGCCTGGGAAAGCAGTACAAGATGGCCCAAGGCCTTGGGCCCCTGCATCCATGTGGAAGACCCAGAAGAAGCTTCTGGCTCCTAGCTTTGGATTGGCACAGTTCTGACCATTGTGGCCAATTGGGGAATAAACCAGCAGATGGAAGACCTCTCTCTCTCTCTCTCTTTCTCACTCTTTCTCTCTCTCTCCTCTCTCTGTGTAACTCTGACTTTCAAATAAATAAATAAATATTTTAAAAAAGGTAAATATTGGTACATACCTCCTTGATGAGATTGAATTGGAATCCCCTGGCACATTTCTAGCTCTGCCATTGGAGGTAAGTCCGAGTGAGCATGTGCCGACCTGTATATCTCCTCCCTCTCTTATTCCCACTCTTATATTTAAGATTAATTGTGTATTAATTGCAGAGTTAAACTAATGGTATTAATTAGAACAAAAAAATACTAAAAGGAATAAAATAGTTTTTCCTCAATAGTCAAGACTATGGCTGATCTAGTCATTGTTTCTCATAGTGTCCATTTCACTTCAACAGGTTTCCCAACAGAAAGAATGGGCCATCAAAGAAGAGGCACCTTTCTCTGAAGGGAGGAAGGAACCTCCACTATGATATGGCCTTGACTAAATAAGTTCAGAGTTGGTGAACTCAAGAGACTTCCATAGCCTTGACAGCTCACGGCAAGAGCCTCGGATGATTACTGACATCATAAATAAGAGTGTCAATTGTTAAATCAACAATGGGAGACACTGTGCACCTGCTTACCATGTAGGATCTCTGTCCTTAATGTGTTATACTATGAGAATTAACAGTAAATCTACTAGTCAAACAGTACTCTATATCTTGTGCGATTGTGTGGTGCAGTCTATTGAAATCTTTGCTTAGTATATACTAAGTTGATCTTCTGTATATAAAGATAATTGAAAATGTATCCTGATGAAGAGTGGGATGGGAGAAGGAGTGGGAGATGGGATGGCTGCAGGTGGGAGAGAGGTGTTGGGGGAAAAAGCCACAACAATGCAAAAGTTGTATTTTGTAAATTTACATTTATTAAATAAAAAAGGTAAATATATGACAGAAACCTCAAGAGGCATCAATGTTTATACTGAGACTTAAAGGCAGGATTTTGAATATGATTGAATATTAAGGATTTTAGAAGTGGTACCACATGGCATGTTTGAGTTCTGTAACAAAGCTGGATGAGGTAGGTGGAGCAATAGTGTTCACCTGAGAGGGCTGTGGAGATGGTTTTGGTTTTCAGGGAGAGAAATATCTTGTTTAAGGAAGCCTGAACTAAAGAAAATTTGAATAATGTGAAAAAAAATTGCTGACAATCAAATGAACTCTTTTAATGGCTCCATTGAGAAGTATTGTAATGGGATAATAAGTTGCCAGCTCCAGGTTAAACAACTTAAGGTTGTTAATACAAGAGTAATAAACAAGGAATTGCATTCTGAATTTTGATAAAGAATTGAGAGATCAGATTCTGGGTAGAAATATTAAATTGAAATGGAACTTTTGGTCAAATACACTGATAGAGCAGTACCAGCAAGGCCTCCTCCTGGTTGCTCCCCACAGTTCATAGGCATGAAGAAGCCACCAGCTACTAAGACAAAAACTACCATGTAGCAGAAATTAAACAAAATACCTGACAGTGGGAAATTGAGATAAAGTGGAGGATAGAATTAGGTAAAATGCAGCTACACAATGGTGAACAGCAAAAAAATAAGATCATTAGAGAGTCTAAGAGTTCTTTGTTGAAACACTTTATCACATTTCATTTGTGTCCTCAAGTTACAGAACCCCAGAGCTCCATGTTGTTTTGTGTTAAAGAGAATGATTGAATGTGTTGCCCTTTTGATTGCAGTTGAGTAAGGGACATTTATTCACCACTCTTGAGGTCTCAAATGACACTATAAATTATCACAAGGCCTAGGAATGTGAGAAACATAATTTAATGACTCTAGGTCACCACTAAGTTAAATTCCAGGGTTAGAGGTAAAATGCTGGGGTGTACACTTGATACAGCCATTAAATCATCAGTTGGAATGTCTACATCCCACATCAGAATGCCTGGGTTTTAATCTTGGCCCCAATTTAGATTACAACTTCCTGCTAATTCACACCCTGGGGGATGCAGTACCTCAAGTAGTTGGGTCCTTGCCATTCATGTGGTAGACCTGTAAGAAGTTCCTGGATCCTGTCTTTGGCCTGCCTCAGCCTCAGCCATTGCAGACATTTGGGGAGTATACCAGCAGATGAGAGATGGGAAATCTCAATTTCTCTCTCCCTCTCTCTCTCTTTCTCTCTCTCTCTTTCTCTCCCTCTCTTCATGTGTTTCTCTGCCTCTCAAATAAACAAAATATATAAAAATATAATAAATGTTTAAAAAGAAATATAATCCCAGATAATATTGTGGACAGGAAAGAATGTTACCCTTTCTTGATAATTTTTCTATTGGTGATTTTCATATTATGTTTAACTCTCCTGACTCAGGGTATGGTTATTAGGAGCCACCTCTAATTGCACCATACAACTTCTTAAGAGCCATATATATAGGACTGTAGGGAATTAATGAGGAATGGAGACCCTTCTTTACCATATGCAATGGAAACATTTACATATGATCTCCCTGATCCTTGGATTATGCATAATTTCAATGACAAAATGAAAGTCACACTATATGAGTGTTTTTGACTTTTAGGAACTATGGTTTTATTGGTTACATCAGGGATAGGAAGACTTAATTTGCTTCTGTATTCTATGTTTAGGTGATCAGCCACAATCAGTGGTTCTGGATAGGAACTTTTCTGGATGTGACAGGTAACCCATATTTTGTTCAGTGCAGAAGAATTTGTAAAACAGATTATTATCTGCAATATATAAATTTTGTAAAGTCAAAATCATGCTCTTGTTTTTCTCTAAGTTATGCTACTATATACTGGATGTTAACAACAATGGATGCCACTGAGAAGTTTCTCTTTTAAAGGACTACAGGTACTTTGAAAAATTCTGAAATCTCTAAAAATGCTACTTGGCTTGAATTATAGGAGTTTATACTTGATCTGTAATATTTTAATGCCATATTTAATTGAAATATTGAGAATATTTAATCGCCAATCCTGCTTTTATACCTATTTATTGCATGTTGACCAATAGTAACACAAACTCTAAAATATAAAACAGCATCATGTAGGCATCAGTAACTTCTGACTCAATGGCAACACATCCAAAGTACCACAAGACTTCCCATTTTACCTCATATACAAGAACTGTCTAGTGTGTGTTCTGATGCCAGAATGGACGTGTTTGAATACAGGTCTTATCAACCACAGCAAGTCAGGTAGAGTTCCTGTGCCTCAGTTTCCTCTTCCATACAATGTGGATTATATGGGTACCTCTTAAGATTTTGGGTTTTTAAAGGGCCTGACTACACAGTTATCAAATCTTAGCATTTTAGAATAATAATTATATTTTTATAATGTTAGTGATTCTTGTATTAGCATGCTAATCTCTACGGATTCCTTAGTCTTTCCAGTCATTCCAATGCACACTACTGATGTTATCTCATGATTCGTCTCTGTCTGTTCTACTCTGTATTTCATATAACTGAAAAACTAATGTTCTAAAAGTTCATTATACTTCACATTGAGGAAATCACCATAACATGCTGTTGAATCACAACAGTCTCATTCAGTGGGTGGAGGTATAATTTGAAGCTTTTCACACTTCCAGCACTTTTTCAATGCCCTTGCCATCTCAAATGTTGTTTTCAGTATGCAGTTTCCTACCCATGAATTATTTATTAAAACCCATTGAAGTGAAATGGACACTATGAGAGACAATGACATGATCAGCCCTTGTCTAGACTGTTGAGGAACAACTTACTATTTTATTCCTTTAGTATTTTTGTTGTTGTTGTTGTTGCTCTGTTTGTTCTACATAAGACCACTGGTTGAACTCTGTAATCAATGCACAATCATTCTTAGGTGTTTAAAATTAACAGAAAAGTGATCTCTGTTAAACATAGGAGTGGGAATAACAGAAGGAGGAGATATATAGGTTGGCACATGCTCACTCTGACTTACCTCCAATGGTGGAACTAGAAATGTGCCAGGGGATTTCAACTCAATCTTACCAAGGAGGCAGGTACCAATGCCAGAGTACTTAGTAAAGTGATGAGTATAAATACACAACCGATCAAAAAGATAGGGTATGTGTCGATGAGATTTCACAAATAAGACCAGTGTAAGCAAATAATGAAGGATAGAATTAAAAGGGAGAGAATGATCCTGCGGGGGAAACAGGACATACAACAGACTCATAGAATGGCAGCACTCCTGCTTCAGAATCAACCCTTGGGACATTCTGATCTGGCTAAAAGGTCCATGAGAGTCTCACAGGCATGGAAAGCCATGACACGGTGGCAAAAAAACAATCTAAATGAAAGATCCTGGTGAACAAGACCCCAGCAGAAGGAACAGACCATCAAGGAGAGAGGCGCCTTTCTCTGAAGGGAGGAAGGAACCTCCACTGTGATACGGCCTTGACTAAACAAGTTCAGAGTCAGTGAACTCAAGGGGCTTCCATAGCCTAGACAGCTCATAGCAAGAGTCTCGGGTGATTGCTGACATCATAAATAAGAGTTCCAATTGTTAAATCAACAATGGGAGTCACTGGGTACATGCTCCCCACGTAGGATCTCTGTCATTTATGTGTTTTACTATGAAACTTAAAAACAACACTACTAGTCGAACAATACCCTATACCTTGTGCGGTTGTGTGAGTGCGGCCTGTTGAAATCCTTGCTTAGTATATACTAAGTTGATCTTCAGTATATGAAGGTAATTGAAAATGAAACTCGATGAAGGGTGGGATGGGAGAGGGAGTGGGAGAGGGGGAGGCCACGGGAGGGAGGGAGGTGGGGGGGGAGCCACAACAATACAAAAGTTGCACTTTGTAAATTCACATTTATTAAATAAAAAAACTATGTAACAAACAAAAAAAAAGAAAAAGAAAAAGAAAGAACTTAATACTTTACCCTTTTAGTATTTTTTATGTTCTACTTAAAACTATTGGTTGAACTCTGTAATTAATACACAATTACTCTCAGGTGTTTAATTAATGCTATAACTAGTACTCAAACAGTATTTTACACTTTGTGTTTCTGTGTGGGTCAAACTGTTGAAATCTTTACTTAATATATGCTAAATTGATCTTCTGTATATAAAGTTAATTGAAAATGAATCTTGATGTGAATGGAAGGGGAGAGGGAGTGGGAGAGGGGAGTGTTGTGGGTGGGAGGGAAGTTATGGGGGGGGGCTATTGTAATCCATAAGCTGTACTTTGGAAATTTATGTTCATTAAATAAAAAAAAATTCCCAGTCCCTGCCCTTGATCTGATAATAGATCCTTTTTCTGCATTTCACTTTTTACATGCATGTTGTATCCTGTATACTTGTGATTGAATCTTTCATATATCCCCTCCATTATCCGATGATTTCCTGGACAGCAGAAGTAGTATTCATACTCCAGTGTATATTAGGATAGATGAAATGTGATTAATTTACAATCAATATTTATTCAAAGCATGAATGGAAAGTAAAAGAGGTGTTAAGATGTATTGGTGCACACACATCATTTTATCCCTTGCCAAGTTGGTTTATCCTCCACTTGACCTCTAAATTTTGGAGAGTTGGATGCTCAGTCTTTTACTCTACTTTTCTCTAACTCTTCCTATGCATCTTAACAATATTGTAGACAAAAATATTTTCTTTTTAAAATATTTTTTATCTTGAAAGTCAGAGCTACAGAGAGAGGGGGAGAGACACACAGAGAGAGATCTTCCTTCCGTTGGTTCATTCTCTAAATGGCTACAACGGCTGGGGCTGTGCCAGGCTGAAGCCAGGAGCCAGAAGCTTCATCTAGGTTTCCCATGTAGGTGGCAGTTGTCCAAAGACTTGAACCATCTTCTGTTGCTTTTTCCAGGGCATTAGCAGAGAGCTGGATCAAAAATGGAGCAACCAGGACAGGAACAGGTGCACATATGGCATCCTGGCATTGCAAGCAGTAGCTTTATCTGCTACACCACAACATCAGCCCCAAAATATTTTCTATACTCTGAATTGACATTTCTATATCCAATCTTTCCCATGCACTCCTGGCTAATTTCTTTCTTTACATGTCCATTGAGATATTTTGTAGGCAACTCAAACATATTTCTGTAAATGAATTCTTTATTTGCTCCTCTATAATCTACCTCATTTTATTGCAAACACAAAATAAAGCCTGTTTCACCACTTAAGACATCAGTGCAAAATTTCCAGGTCTTTATTTCACCATTTCCCCCTCCACCTATTGGTTCAAAGTCCTCTTTTGAAAATGGCATCATGAATATCATGATTTCACTTCTTGAAATCTCCCTACTACTCAAATACATATCACATTGGTGCCTGCCATAATTATTTCATGAGGCTCTGAATGGACTCCCTGATTTCTCACTCTTGATCCACATTCATTTGCCATACAGTCAGAAAGATGTTTCAAAATGAGAAGGGGTTCCATCCCTCCTTATTTAAAACTGTGACTTACAATTGCACCCTAAAAATCCAAATTTCCAACCATATACCTCAGTGGGATACTCTGTCAGGTAGGATAGAGGATACCTCAGAATAATCTTAACTGAGGAACAATAGAGCTGGCTTTTTGTCTAGCAAACTTCTGTGGAATGTCTGTGTCTTGCAAGGGAATTATTGTGTTTTGAGGGAATGAGCCTCAGACAGTCCCAGGTATGAAGGTGGCTTAGCCAATGCTGTCAGACACAAACACTAACTTCTCTGCTACAGCTTATGAAGCCCAGAATGGCCTGTCCTCCACCTGTCTTCTGAATGGGCCCCTACCACTTTCTTTCACCTTCCCTCTGCTCTGTTCATTCTGTCTCTCATTTGACACGAATCTCATCATTGGATCAGAACTTCTGAATATGCTGTTGCCATTCCAGAATGATCTTTTACCAGTTCTCTCATTCCTTATTCACCTCTTTGATACACCTTCCTTGGATCCCATCTAAATTCTATTCCTGACATGATGACACCTGCTTTTATTTGTACTTTTGTCCACCTAGACTCGTGGTATTTGCTTGTTTATTACTTTGTTCACTAATTGGTAAACTTAATTTTGTTCACCATTGCATAGTCAAAGTCTAAAACAAGCCCCATATATGTATGTTCCCAGTACATATTGTTGAATAACAGAAATAACTTAATCACCTGATCTTAATGAATGCCATGAATAAATTAAAGGATGTTATGTTCTTATATTCACTAAAGTGACATTCATCATTTACATAAGTTCTCTACATAATTCATTAATATCCATGTAGTCATTACTTTTGGACAGGCATACATAATAGAGTAAATATACTCAAGTAGTAAGTAAAAATTGAAATATTATTAAAAGTTAGGAAAATATTACATGTTGTCCAATTGAATCTAAGTATCAAAGCAAATAAAATGCCAGCAATGAAAATTCATATTATCTAAGAAACATATTTAACTATTCCAAAGGCCATATAGAAAGTAGAATAAAATAGCAATTGATTTTGAATTTAAAAAGTCATGAATTTAAAGCTGGCCTCTGTTACTGTCAAACTTTATGCCTTTGGGAAAAGTATTACTAATTCATTCAAAAGGTAAATTGTACAGTTGGTCTGTACCAAAAAAAACAGAGTATTGGGGTTTCTTCTCCATACTGAATTATAATATATTCCAAATATGACTCCTGCATTATTGTACAATAAATAGATGATATATTATATAAGATATATAGTTCTTAGTGCTGGCTTGAAGATTCAGTGCAAATAAGCACTTTCACTGTAGTTACAGGTACCCTTATCTTCCACTTCACAGTTAATTATTCAAAAGGCCACAACTGAAGTATGGCCAGAATATTTAATATTGTTTTAAAAGATTTGTTTATTTATTTGAAAGGCAGAGTTACAGAGAGAGAGTTCTTCCATGAGCTGGTTCACTCCCCAGATGGCCACAATGGCCAGAGCTGTGGCAATCCAAAGCCAGTAGCCAGGAGCTACTTTCAGGTCTCCCACATGTGTGCAGGGGCCCAAGGACTTGGGTCATCATCTACTGCTTTCCCAGGCCATAGCAGAGAGATGGATCCTCATAGCACTGGCCATAATATTTACTATTAAATGGCAATCATAATTCAGGTTAAATATCGCATCACCACTGGAGAAAAATATTGATCATAATTATAGCTAATGCATCATATTCACAAGTTAAAAGGTCAAACTGACTAAATGAATGCCCAATTTTGATATATAATTTATATCATTGTACTTTTATAGATTATTTTAATTTTAAATATGAACAGTAAATGAACGTGTTGTTAATAACAGTGGTTAGGGGCTGGTGATGTGGCATAGCAAGGAAAGCTGCCGTCTGCAGTGCTGGCATCCCATATGGGTGCTGCATTTCCTATCCAGCTCTGTTATGGCCTGGGAAAGCAGTAGAAGATGGCCCAAGTCGTTGGGCCCCTGCACCCACGTGGGAGACCTGGAAGAAACTCTTGGCTCCTGGCTTCCGATCTGCACAGCTTCGGCCTTTGTGGCCAATTGGGAAGTGAACCAGTGGATGGAAGACATCTCCCTCTCTCTTTGCCTCTCCTTCTCTCTCTGTGTAATTCTGACTTTCAAGTAAAATAAATAAACCTTTAAGAAATGGATTTTAAAAATCATAGAATTCTTCTAAAAGTATCTGCTTTTTGCCTTTGAAACCATTTTTGTAACTAATAGGAAAGGACACAAATAATGAATAAACACCATAGCCAATAAAACTATGAATACCCTTAAAACATATGAGAATGAATTTATTCACCCTCTAGAATACTGTTTAAATTTTAAACACCTTATCTTTTTACTAATCTCTTAAAAGAACTGATCTCAGGAAACACAATTAAGAGTTTGTATTTCTTGTCATATATGAATTAATGAGGTAATAAGAAGGAGAATGCAAGCCAGGAGAGTTAAATCAAGACTGTCTTAGAAAGAAGAGTATTGAGTTTTCTTCTCTTCATACAATTATAACCCTTTCCTGATAAAAGTCGCAGAAAAAATGGAAAAAAAAAACAAGTTATTAAAGTTTATGTCTCCAATAGGTAGTAAAATAAATTATAAAGCATTCCTCTTAAGTAAATAAAGTAATTAAAAATAATTAGTCATTATTAAGGAAAAACAGGATCATTCAAAAAATCAATGCAGAAGCATGGAAAGTGGGGAAAAATACCCAAAGGTCAGAGCAATACCCATTATGTTGCATATGATCCAATATAAAAAATTTTAATTTTTTTACCTGATTTTGAGTTCAGAAAACAAAATATAGGTTTTTTCTACATTTTGAAGAATAAAATATTAACTTTATGATAATATACAAAAACAAAAGCTAGGAAGCCACACAGAAAGGTAACTTAGTGAATCAAATGAATTAATAAATTATAGCAAGTACCAATCTTTTAGGACACTGGATTAATGTGCGTACAGAAAGCAACACTGAAGAATGCCACATAAAAACTGAGACAGAAGAATTTAGAGGTATGCTAGGTAAAAATTTAAGGTCAAAAGATGGGAGGAAGAAAGTGATTTTTAAGAGATATGTTAAGGCCAGTGCCGTGGCTCACTAGGCTAATCCCCCGCCTTGCGGCGCCAGCACACCGGGTTCTAGTCCCGGTCGGGGCGCCAGATTCTGTCCCAGTTGCCCCTCTTCCAGGCTAGCTCTCTGCTGTGGCCAGGGAGTGCAGTGGAGGATGGCCCAAGTGCTTGGGCCCTGCACCC